TTCTGAAAAGTTTTACATCATCAGCAAACATCAACACTTTAGAAAATTGAATCACTGATGGAAGATCATTAAGGTATAACACGAATAATAATGGACCTAAATGGCTACCTTGAGGGACTCCAGAACGAACATCAATATTTTTAGAGAAAATATCATTATAAGACACGCTTTGAGTACGGTTTTGCAAGTAGGATGAAATCCAGGACAAAATTTTGAATGGAAAACCCATGGCGTCCAATTTAAATAATAAAAGTTTATGTAACACCGTATCAAACGCTTTACTAAAATCAGTGTAAATTACATCTGTTTGTTGCTTTGTAGAAAATCCATGGTGTGCATGGTATGTTAATTCCATCAGATTAGTTAAAGTCGATCTCCCTTTTATGAAACCATGTTGACAAGGTGAAATTATTGGCGAAACGAAGTGAATTATTCTATGTGATACTAGAAGTTCGAAAAGTTTTGGAATGGCGCTTAATTTTGCAATACCCCTATAATTCTCAATAACATTTCTGCTACCAGACTTATGTAAGGGGATAATGAAGCTAGATCTCCAGAACAGAGGAAAATATCCTGTAGATAGCGAAAGATTAAAAATAGCAGTGAGGGGCTTATATAGTTCATAAGCACAAGTTTTCAATATATTCGCAGGTACTCCATCAGGACCTGGGGAGCAACAATACTTTATTGACACTAAACCATTCAACACTTCATCTTCTGATAGAAGAAAAGTAGGGAAATTATTTATTTTATCAATATTAAAAGCATAATTAGAGTTTAATGTGAATGTAGAGTATGTACTTTGAAAGAAATCTGCAAACATGTCTGCTATTTCAGCGGTATCACCAGAATCTTTGCTACCATACTTCATACTACTGGGAAATTCTCTAACTTTTCTTTTAGAATTAACAAATGTATAGAAGCTTTTAGGATTTAACAGAAGGTTTCGTCTCATTTTGGTCAGATGATTTGAATAGCATTTTAAATTCTCTGCATTGTATTTATGTCTAGCTTAAGAATAATTAGTATAATTTAACAGTGTATTGTATTTTTTAAACTTTTTAAATAATCTACTCTTAACGTTACGTAAACGTCTAAGATAAGGAGTAAACCATGCTGGCCCTCGGTCTAAACTAATTTTCAGAACCGGGACTGACATTGATAACGCATTATTCAACACGTAATAGAAATATGAAACACACGAATCTAAGTCATTTTCAAATTTCCAATTAGTATAAGATAATGTGTATCGCAACTGATTGAAGTTAGTCTTCGCAAAGTTTAATTTTCGAACAGGTTTCCTCTGCAGAGTATTTTTTAAAGAGTTATCTGGCAGTTCTAAAGTTATACATAATGTGGGATGATGTTTATCTTCAGGTTCTACAAAGGGTGAACATCTACATAATGATAAGTTTGGAAAGGAAGAAAAAACAAGATCAAGAATTCGGTTTTTGGTGTTTCTTACATTATTTATTTGAAGCAAACATCGATCATATAAAGTGTCCCAAAAGGTATCCATACCGGGTGCCGAGGTTGTTGACAAAACTGGTACATAGTCTATGTTATTCTCACCTGGAATCCATTTGATATGAGGCAAATTAAAGTCACCAAGACAAATCAAATCAAATTTAGAGGTTTGTAAGTCTGAAACTAGTTTTATTAATTGAGAATGTATTAGGTAAATGTCTACTTCAGAATTTGGAGCGATATATGAACATGTTAGAACTATTATATTATTTAAATAATTTATTTTGACACAAACAAATTCAACAATGGAATTTTCAGTAGTAATACGCTCTGAGTGTACAGCTATAAGAACTCCCCCACCATTCTTATTTAATCTATCAGTTCTATATATTTGATATTGATCGGACAAAACTTCCGTATCACGGGTATCTGGTTTTAGCCAGGTTTCCGTGAACACTAGAATTTTGAAATCACAACCAAAAGAATTCAAATGAACGTGTTTAAGTTTAGTGTTAAGGCCTCTAACATTTTGGTAAAGCAAGGATAAATGGTTTATTAGTTTTTTGACATAGGTGATACAGTGGGAATAACCCCGAAATTTACTGGGTTATTTCGTTCCCTATACACAAATTCCTTTACCAATACGCCGTTAGGCCAAAATGACCTATCTACGAAATCATTAAATAAAGTCGACGGGACAATAATTTTAAAAGACGATATGTCTCGTTGAACCATAAATTCATTCGTAAAATGAGCACCAAACGAAAAGAATGTATTTTGAATTAATCGCGAGCTAATTTTTGCGTCGATAAAACAGACATATCATATCATCGCATTGGAACCGCACTAAATTAGATATGTGATCTACAACGATATGTGTACTAATATAAATCAACCCATAACATGTCATTCTGAAATTTATGCATATTTCTGTAAATCGTGTAGAACTGCGGTCTATACCATTTGTATGCAATCGAGCAAAACTAAGCATGAGAGCGATATTCAAATTCCTGCCGATTTGAAGCAAAGTTTACAGCAAAGCGGGCATTTTAAGATTTTATTTGTATCGAACGAACGTTGCGTTGATTTCAGACAAAACTATACAGGATCATCATCTATGTCTGATCCGTAGTAAACGAAACTTTATACATTTCATTGTAGACTTAATTAGATACGCTTCATAAAATTTGGTCGCAATCGGACAAACTTTGGGAGTTTGGTGTGCAGTTTTGGTAAAATCAGATAAAAATATATATGGAATCTGTATGTAAATCTGAACCGATTTTTACATATCTTAACTCACATTGTTTAGACTTAATTCAAAACGATATCATCAAGCCGGGCGAAAATATATATGGGTGCTATATCTAAATCTGAACCGATTTTTACAAACTTTAGCACAAGTTATTCCACTCAATTATACTCAATTTTTTCACCTCAATTGGATAAATTTTGGGAGTTTGTACTATATGGAAATCTGAACCGTTTTCAACAAAACTTGACACACGTAAGGCTATAATAATTTTAGTACATAGTACAAAATTGTGTGATAATCGGCCAAACTTTGGGTCTTTAGTACACAATTTACATAAAATCGGAATAAAACATTTGTAGGAGAATCACGAAACTTAGCACACATCATTCTAGACGCCATGCCGAAATTCGTGCAAATCGAAACATATATAGGGTCTTTGGTGCACCATTTACATAAAATCTGACGAAAATATACATGGGAGCTATATCTAAATCTGAACCAATTTTTCACGAAACTTTGCACACATTATTCTAGAGTCAATTCACTACGCTATGCCAAATTTCGTGCAAATCGAAAGAAATATAGGGGCTTTGGTGTACCATTTACATAAAATCGGACGGAAATATACATATGAGCTATATTTAAATCTGAACCGAATTTCATTTTACGTTCCGGCGCCTGATTTTTTAGCAATAGTGCTATTAACGGATATATAGGACCCTTCTTTCTAGATTAGGGTATACTACATGTGATATGTCATAGGCTGAGGACGTATATCTGTCGGCAACCCCGACTGACACTTTTTTAAATATTTTAAATTAAATTTAAGTTTTTTTTTTGATTTCCATTTAATTAGATAATCAAATCACAAGATATATACGAAAAAAATCAGCACTTTCTTTCGACTAAGGCAAACAAAATCAGATCATAATATTTTCGGATATTTTCTTTCATCTCTTTGGAATCATGGTGGCTGTTCGATTGCGATAATAATAGATATAGAATACTTTTGTTTCGTTTGAGAAACTTGCAAATCTAATTGTTTGCTTGATTGTCCTGCATTTATACTAAGCGAAGTTTACGATGTGTCATTCGCTTCAGCTCCCTGCTCTGTATATTTTACACGTTAGTTATATTTGCTATCTGTGCCTATAATTCTGTGGAACTCTGTAAAAACATCAACCCATCTTTATATACCACCAAAAAATTATATAAAATTGAAAATTATACGATTTTTTTTCTTGATTTACAGCGGTACTTCCCATTTTCCAATATCAACTTATTAATATATAAAATGCCAATTATTAACTTTTCTAGTTAATAGTTTTTCATTTGTTGACGCTGTTATTGGCATTTCAGAGATATTGTTGTAGTGGTGTGCGCATACTACATCCATCCTGTTTTCAATATTATCGTCATCATTTGGGTCATGCTATGCCAGGGGTATAAGGCCATCGAACAAAAAGTTATGACGAACATGTATTCGCCTCTGAACTTTCGTTTCAATTCAAATGGACTTGTGCAACAAATTCTGCACTAAGTGGCATTGTACGCGCCTACTTTGGCATTACTTTCAGGGGAGCAATGCACAGAAAATTTACCAGAAATCCAAATGCAATCTAATGGTAAATATTAAATACCATTCTTTTGCTCTGTAGAGAGTTAAGTGCGCACACAAACACACGCACGCACACATACACAGAGGGGAACTTCATTGACTTGTAACTGCAGTCTGAGTTGTCGAAAGCCACTTGAGAAAATTCATTGCAGAAAATGATATACACTCTCCCCTATGGCCCAACTACACGGAGATAAATTTAAATTCTCAGGCAGAATGAAATAAAAAAAGCTTGCAACAAAAATATGGGTCAAAAGTACAAGTATAATATTATTAGATTTTGAAATTTAAGGTCAATAATATTTAATAAGTGATTATTAAAAGGTGAATTAAAACCTGATCTGAAAGGAGTTACTTCAAATACTGACGAATATATGTAAATGAACGTATAAACTCAACTCAATTTCCATACCACTTTCTTACTGTGTAACAAACCGTATTATTGCCATTGAAGGAAGGAATATGGAGCTATATGTACAAGACCTTTGCAAACATCAGAACTGCTACTTTACCACTATTTTTTCATTTAAATATTCTTGTTGTTATTGCTGTTGATTTTGTTTAAGTTCTTTTTGTTGTTACTGACTAAAGTTTATTTTTTTCTGTTCGGAACGCTTTCATCTATACACTTTTTTTCTTCTTTCTCTGTTGTTATTATAGGAGTTGGCAGAGTACTTGGAAATCGTTATAAATTGGGCGAAAAAGTGCTCGTTACCAATGGCGATAAGGCAAGCGGCAATTTTATAAAATATGATGTTGAAGTTCGTGATGCCGATGTGGTAAGTAATACCTTTCATTTGATTCCTTTTTTGTGCGCTACTTTATGGCCGGGCGGCTGATGCTTGTGGCCTGCAACAGCCTTCCGTGCCCTCTCTACCTCTACATTGGCCATCTATGCTGCGTGCATAGTACAATAATACAGAATATCAAACAAGAAAGCAAACAGGCGAGCAACCATCCAACCTATTTTGGAACATTTCATAATTTGTTTCCATCGAAGAGAAATACAGGCATGTCCATTGGAATGAATCCAAATGTTAAATGATTTCGGCTAATTTGATTATATGAAATTAGCAATGTTGAAGTGAAATTTAGACTATTTTTATTCATTTTTGCTCAGATTTAACTGCAATGTTGTTACAGTCTTTATTGGGCGATAACCACGTATTTGTCATAATAAAACGAATAACGGTTCTTGAGTAATATATGTGGATAATTCTGTCTGTACTTCCTCGTAATACGTATTATAAATGTAAATAAGAAGGAATATTAAATAAAACACTATCCCAGGTCCATATAATTTCTATGAGTTTTAGATTAGCTAAATTGGCACAACTGTTTAAAATTTACATTTGCCTTCTAGCATGGAATTTTGTAGATGTATTTTCCGTACATTATATCCATATAATTTCTATGAGTTTTAGATTAGCTAAATTGGCACAACTGTTTAAAATTTACATTTGCCTAAATAAAACACTATCCCAGGTCCATATAATTTCTATGAGTTTTAGATTAGCTAAATTGGCACAACTGTTTAAAATTTACATTTGCCTTCTAGCATGGAATTTTGTAGATGTATTTTCCGTACATTATATCCGCATAGTTATGAATCGTCTTCTAGGTTGTCTATATATAAACAAAAATCCCTCAAACTTCTAAATAATGGACCAGTCTTTTGTTAAATCTGCTACATTCCAATACCAAATTACAGTAATTCATTTATGACCTTAACTGTACAGTTTGCACCATTACAACACAGGATGTATGCAAAAAGTCTGACGATTGCAATTTCAACATTCCTTTTCATTTCGTTTCAATCAATCCCCTCCCCACCCCCATGCAATGCGCCTTTATTTGAATTCAATTGTGAAGTAAAGTTTTTTTGTTGTTTCCTCGTTCGCTTGTTGTTAATCGTTTTTTATTACATTATTCATCGTATCGTATCGTTATAACGTATCGTAAGGGGAAACTTGCCAATCAGAGAATATGGTGCGGTTGGCCAAAGTCAATATTTGGCAAAGTTGTGAAACAAACAAAAACTCTAGCCTACTAGCAATCATTGAGAAATTGGTCAATACTCTCAAGTTAATCATGGCCCACAATTTGGAAATGAAAAATGGGGTTGCTGCAATGACTAGACATTTTAGTTTTTTGTTGTTTGTTTTCCATGGCAAGTAATTAAAATATGTTCTGGATCATGCATAAATGAATTTATTAAAGAAACATGTGGATGGAGGGAATACTTCCTTCAGTTCCATACTTTAGTCGTTGAAGGAGCTGTACTTGTAACAACATTTACTGACATTTTATTTATTTTTGTCGTCGTTTCTATTTCTTTTCAGATACAATTTGAAAAATCTTATGATATATTTAGTGGGTCTCTTTATCGTGGACATTTTGTTGTGCGCAATCATTTGCAAGTTGATAAATTTACAAATTTGGTAAGTTTTCCAATGGAAACAACGGGCAGTAGCTGTGCTGCAGATTATAGTGCTCTCGTCGAGGGTCTATCTGCACTGCTTTACGACTATTCAATGCATTGAAGTTATATTGCAATGATATAACGACATCATCATAAAAACAGTGGACTGAATTTAATTTTTATTTGCAACTGCTTAATCGTCCATTAATTTAATGGTGTGATTTTTTTTGTTTTGTTTTCTTAAAGGTGGCCAAGAACATCTCAAAATGCTCCACCCTATTGGAGAAAATTCCTGTGAAATTATTCACATGCGTCCTTAAATCGAAACAAACATTGGGACAAAAACTGCTGGAACACTATAAGGTTACACCGATATTTGAGGCTGAAACAGGTCGCTATGCGTGTCAAATTGATTTGAAGACAACGTTTAATGAGGTCCTGTCTATTGTCAAAACCAATGACATTCATTTTGAAATGGAGGTAAGTCTTGTGCTTTGCTGCGAGAAGACTTTTTACATCAATTTCAATTTTATCTTTTAAGGTTTCTTTGCCAAATGGTCTGACCGATAATATTTCACTAAAATTTGTTCCCGGTGTTAAAGTGTCACCTGAAGCATTTGCTTCTGAAAATGATGCAGCTGAACAAGATTTAACAATAACTGGTCTTGATAAAGTTTTGCAGAAAGTTGAGGTAAGTTGTTCGTCATTTTAATTTAGATATTATGGAAAGTGTTATATACAATTAATTACATTGTGCAACAACCTGTTGGGTTGGATTTATTTTATCGGGGATTAAATAACGTTGAAAGACAACAACAATGTTATCTAAAAATCATTTTAAGGAAATTTCTCATAATATTTTTCATTGTGTTTAATAGTTTGACTTATTTCCAAATTATTTTGTACTCTGAGAACGATTTTGAAATGTTTCCCTTTACTTTAAAAAAAGTACTAAAACAGACCAAATATATAGTAACACCCTTGGCCAAATTGTCATTAATTTAAATGCAGAGTTTGTTTTTTTATTAGCAGTTCTATTTTGCAATGTGGCGAAAATACAATTACAAAATTTTTCCATCCTTTCTCATAATATCAACTGATCGATTCAAGGACAACCATGGCTACATAAACTCTGTTAATCAAAAGGAGCTGAAAATTTATAAGTCCAATATTCTCGCGCCAGATAATAACATTTGTTGCAATTCTATTGGTTATGTGCGGTTTAAAAACTATAACACAGACTTTCCATTTAATTCTCAATTCTATAAACAAAATAAATGTTCAAAATGGTGAAAAAACAACAAGTATTTCCTATTTCTAGAATTTAGTTTTTTGTTGCTGCTTCACAATTATTTTGTTTGCTAATATCGTTGAAGCTTTTTCATTGTTGTTGTGTTTGTCTTGCTCTCATATTCGTTACACAAAGTTTTGTTGTTATGAAAAAAAGTATTTACTTTTTATAAACTTGCCAAAATAAAAGAGCAAAGTCAAAAATGGTATGAAAAATAGTTGGGAATAATTTAAAACTTGAAAATCCATTTTTATTTACAGAACTTCGTTAGGTACGCATAGCTCTTTACTTGTTCACTTCATGTCTGCGTCCCACCGCAACAACTGTCTCTCCTCTCAAAATATTAAACTTCTTGGCTGGTTGTTGTAGTGGAGTTGTTGCACTCCTCCGCTCACCCCAAAACGGCCTGGATAAAACAGCAATTGACCATTATGCCCACAATTGCATTCAACTTGAATCTTGTAAATGTCAGCTTGACTTGGCAGTCAGTCATTCCAAAGTTGTTTCTTATCTATTTCGTTCTTACGTATTCTGTCATATAAGCTGACTTGACCACTTTCCTGCCTCTGAGTACATGTGCAAGGAGTTTGAAGTTATTGTTTTTTCATATAGCCCGAAATAAATATGTATGAGTGGAGAGCCAACTCGAAAGTAGAATTTCGTATCCTGTGTGGACTTTGTTTGAGGACACAATAACAGCATGAGCCATTGTCGTAAGGTACGTGTGGAAAAGGAAGGGAGGGGAGGCAGTAAAACGACTAAAAATAGTTGCATGTCTGCATAAAAATGCAATTCTCGCTAACACCCATGGTTGGTGGCAAAGGTTTGTAAGCGGGTGAACGGTGGATGTCTGTTTGTCTGAATGACTGACTGCTTGACTAACTGAATAAATAAATAAATGAATGCACGAATAATCCTCTATTCCTTCGTCGTGTATAGTTTTGTACACTTGGAAAATGTAGATCTTCAAAAGTTATTTTACCCAGAAACACATTTTTATATGTTTTTAATGAATAGCTTAATCGAAGATTTATAAAAGTGTCGTATATATATATATATATATATATATAAATGTTTTTTTTTGTCTATAAAATATTCCAAAGGAGTGAAAGTCTTTTATCTATGGTAGATCTTCTGGAAGTATTCCATCAAGGCTCAGTAAGGTCTTCTATCTATAGGAGAGCCTCAGAAGATCTTTTTTTATCTTTAAAATCTATACAACCGAATAACTCCAACAAGTAATCTACAATAAATGGAATAACTTTAGACGTCATTTTGTTCTCCGTGGTATTTGGAAGACATTTCAATCATTAAATGTATTATACAGGGCTGGAATTTTATGGAAGGGTAATAGAAAGTATTCTATATATAAATATGTCCTGTGTATATTATTTGTTATAAGTAGTTGTCGTTATATCAAAAATACATTTAAGGTCTTAATAACCTATTGTACAGTCGAAATCGTTTATAACGACTGTATCCGAAATTCCCGTGAAAAGTTCTTCCCTTTATTTGATATCGTTTGTAACGAAATATCGCTTATTATTATGAAATAAATATAAATTTTAAACAAAATTCACATTCACAAATTTGAAAAGTGTAGTTTTCATTTTTGTGGTCTGTCTCCTATAGGCGGCGACCAAAGGAAGGAAAAACATTACGAAAGTTTTTTTTAATCGAAAGATTGATTGAAGCAATACATGAAAAGTTTCATTGTTTTAGTTTTAATACGTTTTTCTTTTGCATTGTTTTTGTTTTGCTTCAATCGAAGAAAAAACCCAAAAAAAAAAGAAAAACTGAAACTATTGTCATTTATCCATCACTGGGGAATACTCGAATACCGCACAGTAAATGTTTTATTTCAGCATTACCTTCTGGCTTTGTGCGGCTTTGTTGTTGTTTTTTCATTTTTTTTTTGTTATAAAGTGTTACGTTTTTCTCTGTTCTTTCCTGGAATGTCGATTTTGTTCTAATGGAAAAGTCCCTGAGGAATATGTTCAACTTTTTTGTGGTTAGCTCGTTTTTTGCAAGTCGGGCCAGGTCAGATCAGATCAGGCCACCAATACATGGAGCGGCTGTGACTGTAGTTGTAGGTCCATATTTGTTTTTATATATAGTACATACATGCAATGTGTATTGTGGGCGGCTAATATTAACAGCTCTAACCGTTCATGAATAACCCAAATGGCTGATAATTGTGAAATGTGTTACACAACAGCACACATGAAATATATAAGCCAGAGTTGTTTTTGTTTTATTACAATTCCATTAAATGTATTTAATTAAAATTATAATAAAAACAACAAGAACACACTTAATATAGGTCACTGGTTAGTGAAATTCCATATGGACACGTCTCAATTTAAGTGTAAAAAACTATATATGTATAAAAGTATTTACAACAAATGTATGTTTTTCTGTTGAGCTTATGTACATATGTGAATTGTTTTTTAACACTTTAAAGGATCTGTGGTTTGCCCAGGGCATATAGGCATATACCCATTGGATCAAAAATGTTCCAAAGATCATAATGGCAATGCTTCATCTGAATTTAAATGTGGGGAGGAAAACAAAAGAAACTCAAAAATTTGCGAAAAAATAGTATTGAATCTGATGTGAATTATTGTGTTAAATACAAATTATTATTAATTGTGTTTGTAATCGCTTTACAATCAAATTCCGAATTTAGTTTTTAATTCAATTCATCAACTGTCGGATATAAATATCACAACTAATTACTTGCCGATTTTGTTTTTCTAAAGTTTGTAAAAAAAATGTAACTTCAGTATTACTACAGGTTACTGGATTCCATTGATAAATTCCAAACAAATGAGGATAACAAAAGTGTGTGTGTACGTAAGCAACGTTAAAGCCCCACAATATACATTCGATAACCATTATCTGTAAATTATATTAGAATTGGTACATATTTTGTAATAATATATAGCCTAAATAATAGGAATACAATTTAGAAAATAATTTATTTCAAACCAAGTAGAGTGCCTAATATTAGGTCGGGAAAAAAGAAATCCATTATTTTCATATGAACTATAGGACTTTATTTAACATGCATCGGAATGTCCGATTTGCACAGTTTTGTTGTGAGATTTGTTGCCATTTTAAAGGTAACTTCATAATGCCTCTCGCATAGAAGTCCTACTCTCTATTTGCAATTTTTTATCATTACAAAAATTTTGCAATGCAAGAAAAAGATGATAATCCGGACTGTATGGCGGATGCAATAAAACTTCCCAACCAAGCTCCTGAAGTTTCTGGCGAGTCACTGTAGATGTGTGGTGCCTAGTGTTGTCCAGTTTCTGGTTGTTCCTGGGCGATGTTACCACTGCTAACATGGCGGTTAACTTCGATCATTTCCCCGATTTTATCGACATATTCGAAAATTCCTGAACGGTATCTACGAAACCAAAATTGTACAAAATTGGCTGTTACAGTATCGGAACCATAAACACCATTCACAATTTTAGCCGCTTGGCTTGCATTTTCGCCTTTGCCCCAACCTCATATTAAAATTTGTTCGACTGTCGAAATATTTCTAAATAACATGTTTGTCTTGTACATTTACATATAATTCAAACCCACGTTTTTAAAATTATCTAAATATGGCAAAGAATCAGAAGAAATCAAAACCAACTGGATGATTTTGTTTGTCCGAAGAAATACTGTTTTCAAGATTTTTTTTGTATTTCACACAAAAACTGAAATCCCCTTTTAGAATCCAAAAATGACACCCGTAACGATGAGAACATGAAATATAAATCCAAAATAACAGTTCTTATCGGTCGGCCAATTCCAGTGGTAAAATTTTTCGTAAGTTTCTCCAGAATCCCTACTTTATTTCTGCGTTTCATGCCAGCATCGACACTTATTCAATATTCCAGCAGATGCTATCCGTCACTAAATCGGGTGTGGTGTAGCTCTAAGCGACGGAAGCCTCGCATACTCCTTAGAAATTACTCACCCAAACATGGCATACATTTGCACCTAAACAAACTAAGGCTTGTATGCAGGAAAAAATGGAAATATACTTGAAACACTTCTTCTTCTGTCGCTGATCAGCTTTCGCAAACTATACCAAGTCCCAATCACCATAATTTAAAAATATAAACGATTTTAAGTTAAAATATATAGACTGATATATTCTTAATATATTCCAATGTAATGCGGTACAAACCTCATCCTCAGGCTTTTTTGTTTTCTTCAAATAACTTAAGAAAACCTCCTTAAACATATTCGTATTTTCATATGTTTCAACCTAACCTCAACATACTTTGTCCAGCTAAGCTATTGGAAAAGAGGCTACGTTAGGCTACATAAGGTTTTTTTAACGTCTTCTCAAAGGGTAATCAATTTCATTGCAATGATATTACATATAGATAGGT